AATGATGTGGGATAGATAAAATCCAGTCTCGAAGTCCATTGAGGCAATTCAAAGGGTCAACATCCGTTCGCAAAGCTGTCATCATAATCCGTAAAACACAACAATTCACAATGGTCATCAGGAGAAAACTATGGCTGGTTTCGATCCCTATTTTTTAACCATTAATGCCACAGCCGGTGTGAAAGAAATGATGGTCCCCCTGGGATTATGGTCCCCTTTCTTAACGGCCCTTACTGGCCCTGATTTTGTATAAGATAATGAGGGAAAGAGTTGTATCTAGGTCACCATATAAATCAATGGAGAGTAGGACCATAATTTGATAGGACCTCCTACACCGGGATCCACCTCAAAAGGTGCCAAGTGAAAAAATTGTGAGTTCATTGCCAATTTAATTATACCATTCCTACATCCTTCAGCATCTCAAGTGATAAAACTTGAAATTTCGAAATTAATGACTTGTACTTTTCAGCAAAGCCCAGAAAGTATTTCTTAAGTTTTTTACAAGTATAACCTTGACCTAACAGCTTGATCACTAAAATATGGTGTCTTGATTTAAAATCTAGATATTTTGAACATGTCCTGCTATATCTAATAAGCTGGGATACATAAACCCCATATGCTGGGTTAAGTGGAATATTGCTATCCAAATGTGGAAAGTTAACTATGTCAAAATTAAAGTCATCTCTTTTGTCATATAATTTACAATATATACTTTTGTCTGGTTCAATGTTAATAAGAAGATCAAGATAAGGTGCACTCATATCAGATTCATTAGTTTTTTTCAATTCTAGCTCAGTAGGATATATCTCACCTACAAAGTCTTACAAAGTGCAATAATTCTTATCTTCTTTTACACTAAGGTTGTTACTTGGAAGTATCCACTTCAATTATGTGGACGTACATTTTTAACACAAAAACTCGTCGCTTTAGTTTCATCCTTGGTCCCTTTTGAAATCTGTGTTCTGTCAATCAGTGGTGATATCAATTGTCTCAGTGCGCCGGATATACACTTTTTCCCCTCGAAACCCCTGGCCATGGGCCTGATGAAACTAGTAACTACTATCATTATGATTCCTAAACACCCCCGCTAGTTATTTGTCTATGATTGTATTCGCAAATGCAACTGCTAAATGAATCAACGAGTTCCAAATAGTCTGCGAAAACATGAATGAATTAAATAGATCAAAATTAAAAGAACCAGAGAAAGTACTTGTAATATTTCAATACTAGATTAGTAAAAATATAGAGTTACGTATAATATTACTTCATGTTAAAATACTATATGTATTGCTTTTGGTAATTAATTAGTTGCATTCGCGAATACAAGATATAACTCCACTTTGCTCCTGTGCAACCCCTTACCGGTCACAAATCTGGAAATAATTACTTCATGTTAAAATACTACATGTATAGTACCCCACACATAATTTTGTCGCCAACTTCAATTTAAGATTAAAGTACTTTCCTACGTACATATCTTCATGAAATTTAGCATACTTAAACGTGAACATATTTCCAACACCCAAACTTTTTTTATTTTACAAACGGATACCAGGTGTTCACTTGAGACTGACAGCAAACTGCTACATTGTTTTACATTTTCCCGCTTATTTTGCACTTTTGACCTCTTTCGGTACTGGTTTAAGAAAACTGTTTTGAATTAAATCTGTTCAGTTGAAGTGTAACAATGAAAGGGAAAAAAGGGTTTTCCAAAGGGGAACAAAACCCCTCTTCTATTTACTTCAAAGGGAGGAATGTTGAAAAAAATATTGTGGTAAAGTGTACAAGAACGTATACACCAAGAAGGCGAAGTTCGATTTTAGAACAGTTAGACCAAGGCAGATCCAAAACCAATGTTGCTGGAAACCATGGAATAAATATCAGAACTGTTCAGCGGATTGCATCTACTAACCAGAACTCACCTCAGCAACGGGGTCCAAAGTTGAAGATTGTACCAAATTCAGAAGTTGAAGATGTCTTATTTGACATCGCAGATCATGAGCCATTCGCACGGATAACGGAGATTAATGAGGAATTTTCCCTTGAAACAGGTGTTGTCATCAGCAATGAGACAATTAAACGTGTGTTATACAGGCGTAATGGAGGGGAGTTTGTATTTGTTTCTCCAGACAAATCATGTGAGGACCGTAATCTCAGTCAAATATATGACATGCACCTTGGATTTATCGAAGGGTTAAATACCGCATTGAAAAATCACAAATTAATATTAGACGATATTTACTATCAAGACGAATTTCCAATCTTCGAAAACAAGCTCCTCTCGAAAGGCCGTACGCGCAAGGGCACCAAGCTCTATGCTCGCTCGGCATACAAACCCACCCGCTACACATGTTCTGCAGTGATATCAAGATCCAAAGCTGTTAAGGTGTCCCTGACAAAAAAGAATGCTGATGACTCTGTTGTTCGAACATTTGCTATTGCCTCAGAGTCCAGGAACAGAAATCTTGGGGGTCCTGGGCTGCATCGACTTCTACCAAGAGGGGCTTTTTTGGTATGGGACAGGCTTGGACGATCTGGAAGAGCACAGAACCCATGTAAACAGCACTATAACCCACAAATTAAAGCAAAATTGGAAGAAGCAGGGATAAACGTGGTAATGCTCCCCCCTTAAGGCCATCTTCTCAAGCCTTCCGAATTGTTTAACAATTGTATCCAGCAAAAAGTAGTACGTTGGCGACCGCCAGGTGACCCCACCGATGAGTACGGCCATGCAATCGTTGGGCCACGGTCGTTTGATGAGTGTGCTATGGCAGTGAATGATGCCCTGGATGAAATGAAGGATAAACCTGAAATGTTTCACGAGTTTTTTAATAAAAGAGCAACTGGAAGGGACTTTCTGAATCGTGTTGCAAAAAGCTCTGTGCCAAAGAATGTAAAGGCTCGAAGGTCCAGGGCTGGCATTGCCAATCGCCAAATATTCTCATGGCCAGCACGTCGCAATTAAGAGTTGAACCCGTGGACGGATTTATTAGAGTTTAAAGCTAATATGAACTGAATTTGCAAAATACAAACTGGAATTTTCATTATAGAATAACTTCAAATATAGCCATGTTCAGCTAAACAGTAGTAAAAGTACATTTACTTCGCTAATGTAATATACAACATGCAAAACTAAAACATTCAAGAATACAGTTAAAAATGCTAAAATAGCCTAATTTGAGGCAATTTTGCAAAATGATACTGCATTTTGAAAATGTTGTTAAAAAATAAATAATAAGTTTTATGTTAAATAAAAAAAATCGAGTCTTGGAAATATGTTCAAGTTTAAGTATGCTAAATTTCATGAAGACATGTATGTAGGAAAGCACTGAAATCATAAATTGAAGTTGGCGACAAAATTATGTGTGGGGTACTATGTATTGCTTTTGCTAATTAGGTCAGTTGCTTACACATAATTATCAATGTGCCAAGAGCGAGTAATGAGATTCCAATCAGCGCGTGTCAAGACTTTTGGCATGGTCTTTGCACTGCTTTGCATGGCGTGTGTCAAAAAGTGCATAGATGTGTAAAGAGTTGGATTCATCGCGTGTCAAGAGGTGTAAATAATTGGCACGTCTAGAAACCCGGCGTGAAAAGACTAGTAGTTTCTAGACGTGTCAAGAATTGGAATCCCATATTTCACGCAGTGTTAACATTTTTCTTCAAAACTCAACTTTTGTTCAAGTTGATACGATTGTCTTTCGAACTAGAGACTTACCTCATTCGAAAGATCATAAAAGACTTTATCTATACTAAAAATCTTAGATCCCAGCATAGTAGAATACGCCGTCAGTCCGCATTTGATTTTTTGAAGTGAGTTTCAGAGATCGCCAGATTTCTCCGACTGATATCGGGTTATCTCAAATTGGTTCGTTTATAAATACGAATTTCTTTACCCTTGTAAGGCGCATGCGCAAAATTGATTTATAAACGTTATTGGTTGATGGTTTTCTCCTGAGCACGCGTGAAGTCTGATGAACACTTATGACGGAGACCGGAGCAAACATAACCAGCTCTCGAACGAAATTCCAAGATTCAGATCATTTCGCCGTGTTTTCTAAGCGTGTATACGTGAATGACAAGCTGTTTTGAGTAGATCAGTTACCTGTTTTAGACACGACAATGATTTAGCTTGACATTGATGTGCACATTGGCACCTTTGAGCATGTTAATACAAGTTTTTACACTCTTAGCAGGAGACGGGGTTTAATCTAATTCACTCGATTATCGTATGGATATTTATTTCTGCTGACATTTTAACACCACATCACATAGAATTACAATGCAGAATGATAATAAAAACACAAAACAACTACTAAATTCCGCTTGTTATTTCACAGGAGGTAAAAATGCAAACTGCCTAGATTCTTTGTAAGGGTCGTCAGACATCGGATTGGCCGCCATATTTGAAATGAAAATATCACTAAATAGAGCTTTGCGCATGTCAGAACAATTCGACTGATTTCAGTCATCTGATTTTACTAGGTGTTTTAACCATTGCTTAATCTTCATTTTTCATTTGAAATATTAAATGCAACTTTGATTTTACGTCTTCTTTGGAATTTTTTTCTGAATTATTGGCAAAATGTTGATTTTCCGAAAATTGGACACATTCTAAAATCACCCATGATATTACAAATAACCAATTTGAAACAACCTTTATATCATATTTATCATCCACAGATTGTAGTTTATGCACATGAAAACCCAGGTTGATTGGATAAGTATTTCAGAAATTGTTACACTTTTAGAGGGTTCTGTTTTTGGGGGGTCACCCTGTATCATAATTTGTGTATATTACTTTTGATTAACATTTTATTTAAATTCAATTACCAGTATTTATTACATTATATTTAATACACCTGTGTCCACAGCTTGGGAAAATCAACCATTCATACGTTTATATAAATTAAACAAAGGAGTATGATAACAATGGACTTACTAACAAAGCAGCAAAGAAACCACTTAGATGTCCACTATATTCCCGTATCATTCCTGAGCTTAATTAAAAGGAAAATAGTTTTCCAAAGAAAATAAAATTCTTCAGTCATAAATATTTGTTTATTATTAACACAAATGCGCCATTGTATTGACTCGAAGACGAGGACATGGAGCTTAATTAATAATAATGTTTATCAGCATCCAAGTCATTGATGAATGGGTAGGTCAGGTCAGGTCAGTTGTGATCTTGCCAGCCGTTGTTGTTATGGGCTGGTGTTCCATTGTGTTTCATTAATGGCCACAATTGTTCCCTGGAAAAATAAATTATTTATTGCTTTAATCAAAGAGAAAAAAGTCACAAAAAGAGCGATTCTAAATTATCCATGGGGACAAATATATATTAAGGGTTATATGTACTGGGAGGTTTTGGATATAGGGTATATCCTGAGTGATATATTTATATCCCTATATAAATATTTCCCGAGGGGTATACCCTATATCCAGAACAGACCGTGCATAACTAGTGTATTTCATACTTGAGTGGGTTTGGGGTAGATATAACCTTTTCCAACTTTTTCAAATGACGAGATAGGCCTATACTGAAAAAGCACAAGTTATATTTTACATTTTCGTAATATTCCTTTAGTTTAAGAAATTGTAACATTTAAACTTTAAAAAAATAATAACTTTTAAACTTTTTAGACTTTTTAAACTTTTGAAAAATTCCCAGGAGCGGAATGGATATAGTATGTCTATTTGGCCTGGAGTGGCACATATACAATATATCCTGCCCGCTCCTCAGAAATGAAGTATATTCCCGGATGATATCTACCCCAAAGCCACTCAAGTATGAGATGCTTACCAATATTTACCTTCAATTCAGCTACAATAATCATGAGAGAATAAAAACATGTTTGAGTCGCATTTTATTTGGTATGATACAACAAACATTAGGTTAAAATTATCCATGCTGACAAAACCCTTTCTTGTCTAGATCTTGTGTAAAATGAATAAAAAATGTGTAAAGTTCACAACATAAAATTTTGCTCACCAGATTTGTTCTTCTATCACATAGAATACTTGAGGTTTACACATCCCATTAAATGTAGTCGCAGTTGACATAGTATAAGCCCCCATATTCTCGAACATTACGTAATCTCCTACTTCTAGCTCTGGAAGCCTATGCGTCTCTTTGATGCAGTCAAGGCTGTCGCAGGTAGGTCCCCAAATTGAACACGTATTACTGGGCTTTGATGATGGTTTGACTAGCATTGGGAACACCTCGTAGTCATCAAACAATAGGCAGTCTAAGAACGACCCATAAACTCCATCGTTAACATAGTACATGAAGCTTGTCTCCGACCCCCCTTGGGGATCCTGGGAAATGACCTTCCTCTTGCCGATGACACTAACGCATAGGGTGTACGCTGACGACACAAAATAGCGACCGGGTTCAGCAATAATACGAATACCATGTTTTTCTGGGAAATGCTTATCTAAGACGAAAGAGAGCTCTTCTGCAATTTGCTCAAATGTAGTTCTTCCATTGGATTTTCCAGGAAATCCCCCACCAATATCGAGTAGGGAAAATGTGAAACCAAGTTTTGAGGCAACATCAAATGCATCTCTCGCGGATAGTACTGCATCGGTAAAAGCAGTAGGATCGTAGCAATCGCTCCCAACATGGAAACTTATTCCAATGACATCTAATTCAAGCTCATTGGCTTTATTTAAAAGCTTTGCTACATTATCAGGGTGGCATCCAAATTTTGCTCCAAGTTGAATCTGGCAGTTTGAGTTCTCAGGGGTAAGTAGGCGAAGTATCAGTTTAGCATCGGGGTAAACCTTCTTCACTTTCAGCAACTCTTCTTCATTATCAAAGGTCATCATTGCAACACCCTGGTCTGCTGAGAAACGAATATGTGACATTTGTTTACAAGGGTTGGCATACACAACACGATCTGGGGTGACTCCTAGATTCAAAATGAAATCTATTTCAGTCTTGCTTGCGCAGTCAAACCCGGTTCCTAGAGCAGCAAGCGTCTGGCATACGAAGGTGTCTTCGTTGCACTTAACAGCATAGAAAGGCTCAACTCTTGGAAGAAGGGACTTCCACTTGGCAAACTTCTTCACAATATCCCCAAGATCGACGACGTAAAATGCATCTTTACTTTCTATATGTTGGTCAATTTTCGCATCAATGACTTCTTTCAAGTCAAAATCTCTATTTCGTATTTCAACAGCTGTAGAAAACTGGTCATTTACATTCATTTTCGTATGAATATAAGTCAATAGCATGCAAGTCCAGCTCAACAAAACAATTTCTTACGCCTCTTGATTGTGATGGATTGTCTGAAAGTAAAAACACCAAAGATAAATGGTGTTCAAGAATCAAGAGGTTTCATTTTTCATTGTATCATAACTATTTTAGTATAGAACCCTTTCTTCAAAATGTATCAAACGCTTTTCTTAGATCGCTTAGACATACTGCACTGTATCCATTATATTGATACCAGTTATTAGTTTTTATTGTTCTTCCCTATCTAAGAAAATGTCCCTTTCCATCCGTTAAAAATTTATTCTACCCATTAAAATAATTGAGTAATAGTCCCATATTAAGTTAAAACCACGACGACTTTAAAATCTTACCACATTCTGTCAAAACGTGGAATGTAAAACGTTTCAATTTAATTTTGTGATTTTTTGTTCGAATATTTTTAAATCTATTTCAATTAAAAGTTTAGTTGTATCTCTATACATTTTCACGCTATGATTTACAAAATAAATATGTTGAACCTATGTTGAACAAATTAAGAAAACTGGTCAAAAATAAACAAGAAAAATGGGTTCAAAGCATTTCAAAATTCCGGTTTTCATTGAATCAAGTGGTACATAACGTTGATAACGTTAAACAATGATAAGACTTATTTTCAACGTAGATAGGCCAACAATATTGGAACTTTGGGATATTTAGAAAATATTTGTACAAGAATAAAACCTTTCCTGTGTTAAATGTTAAACTAGGATCAAAAAGTAAAACAAGAATAAAACTATTGAAAAAGCACTATTGATCAGTATTTGAATTACAATTAAACCCAACCTCCGTCCCTCATAACATATGGGCAGTGGCCAGTGCAAACATTACATCATTTATTAATACATAGTCAAGTAATTCCATATCCTGAATTTTTTAAATTTGAATTGAATTCGGGCTTGATCAATTGATTTTGATTTTAACAGCTGTCAATCTTGACATTCGCCCTTTGATGAACTTTAACAAGGTGTAATATTATACTATATTTAAATAACATTTCCGGAAAAATCGAAGATTCGAAGAATTATGTGTCAGTGACACTGTCATGCAGAAGGTCTTATTTACAATAACATAATTTAATTTGTTTAAACACGTTTATTTGATTGAATACTAATTACAAACTTTGGAGAACTTAAATTAGAGCATATGTAAAATGCTGCAAGACCTGCCTGCTCACACACCCCGATGCAGCTAAACTTAAGGTGCTTAACTTAAAGTCCCCGTCTAAAGTTTGAAAATATTTTTTTATCATTCATTTACTATTTGTCATGATTTAAAGTTATTTTAGAGATTTTTGAAAAAAAATGAAAAAAGTTGTAAGCATTTCATTTCTCAAATATTCAAATTTCCCGCCATTTTTCAAAAAGTTGAATTTTTTTAATCATCAAATATTTCTTAATGCATTTCAAAAAAGATTATCTTTTTAACACCAATGCAATTTGTGAAAAAAAAAGAAAAAAAGTTGTAAGCATTTCATTTCTCAAATATTCAAACTTCCCGCCATTTTTCAAAAAAGTTGAAATTTTTTAATCATCAAATATTTCTTAATGCATTTCAAAAAAGATTATCTTTTTAACACCAATGCAAAGATTGAACAAAGGACACACTATTTCAATAATAAAATGCCATATTTAATGGGCCACTTCAATGTATTAGCATATTAAAAATATTTTGAATGATTAGTGATGTCACTAAGGTAGCAAAGACTTTTTGAAAAAAGTTGAAATTTTTTTCGATGTCAATCTTTTCTAAATATGCTAGACTTCAATAATAAACCATTGTTGATTGTCTAACCAGGTTAAAAGGAAGAATATATTATGTTTTAGATATCATTGTGCTATTGGTTTCTATGAGAACTAAAATTTTGAAATTCGATTTTCTCGGAACCATTTTCAATTCAATTCAATTCTATTTATTTCATAATTCTTATATAATATACACTATAAAAACAAGCCGCTAGACACCCTAGTGGGTATATGTTGCGGTTTAACAGAAATTATAAAAATGACATCTAGACTACATATAAAAGAAAACACTTATATTATGTTACATGTAGGTATATAAAAATGGTATTAATAATTTGTCTAAGGATGTACAATATAAAAATGTTACAAAAAACCAGGTACCAGTATAAAATCCCAATACAGTATGATCTGATTGGTATTATACATTATCGATAGATGAGTAGTTTTTTATATGAAGATTTGAAAATATTTAGAGTGGAGCATTTTTTAATATCATGTGGTAGAGCATTCCAAAGATTAGGACCTAGATAGCGAAGGGAAAGTTTAGAGCATTTAGGGATATGAAAATAATGCAATTGTCTTGTGTAATGATGATGAATATTAATGTTGATATCAAACAAGTCTTGAAATAGATTTTTTGGAAGACTGGGGTGTTTATTAAAGATTTTGTACATGAAATGACCAGTACAATATCTGTTGACATCAAAAATATTTAATCTGGTATTTTCCCAGACGCCCTGAAATTTTCATGCACTGATAAGTTCATTTCTCGCTTATTTATGAACCGATTTTCTTAATTTTTTCGGCAAAAAACATGCAAGAATGGATGCTATGCAGTGGTATGAATTGTGGCTAATTAAATATATGTGTCACCTCTAAAAGTGAGTTTTAAATAAATTCACAAATTTTGGAACAAAAAGTCTATCAAAAACCACTTTTTGAAATTTAAAAAAAAGTTTCACATATCACACTTTGATAACATTGGGTAAGACTACAATTTAAGCCAACGTGGTTTAAACTTTATATGGGGACTTTAACAGATTGTCTCCGCTGCGAAACATAATGGGAATTGAGAATCGCTATCGAATAACAGACATGGTGTTAGCTGTATCAAATACTGGATCATGGTGAAAATCCATCAAAATTGGCCCGGAAACGCTCTATGCAGAATATAATAATACTCCAGTAAAAACATCAATAACTAGACATGTAAATTGAACAAGTTCAATTTAAGACTCCAGATTTCAAACCCTTTTTAAGCTGAGTCATCCAAAATAGCCTACTGTAAACTCAGCCATTCAGAATAAGCTGAGTCATCTAGAATATAGACATTTAGACAACTCTTAAGTAGGTTATCTTAGACTCCATTGGCTTAACATGGGGATATCATAATATCGACTTTTCGAGACTTCAAACCGCTATAACTATCTGACCAAAAGTTGGTGGTTTGCAGATTTGGATTTCTGAGAAAATTCCACGCTTGTGTCATAACTTATACATTGAATTTTGAGAACTTTTTGTGTTGACCTACTTTCCCGAACTCCCGTGCAGTGATATATCACTGCGGCGGGCAGGTATCTCACCGTAAGCATGGTAACTTCGTAATAAACAACTGACGTGATTGGTTCTAGTCCCATGCTCAGGTCACGTGATTGTATTTAGACAATTTCATTGGTTGAATTGCGCGTATTAACTAATAAACAACACGTGCGGTAAACTATTATCAACACAACTTTTACTCAGAATTCCTTCCACGGTGATTTCTTCTCATATTTCAATAACTTTGAAATATTTTGACAAAATAATGTTTGGGGAACATTTATGAATACATATTTTATAAGTTGTGTGAAAATTGACCACATATGATGAAAAGGGGAACTATTTCCCCCAAATTTTGGGGATTTTCTTCATCTGCCCGCCGCAGTGTCTATACCGAGACACTGCATTGAAGTTCGCTACTTTCCGGATGCCATTCCTCAAAATCGGTAAGAGTAATAAAAAGACAGTCACAATAATGAAAGGGCTGTCTTTAAGCTACATGACATTATGTTAGAAATGCAAGATTTGACCAAGTTCTTGACCTTGGCTTTTCAGTGTTGAATTAAGGTAGCTTTTGAGGACCTATTCTATGGTAGGCTTCCATTAATTGTATTTTTATTCTGTCAGTAGAGACCTTAGATTGCACCAAATAGTAACCTGTACCTGTACCTGTACGTGAAACATGATGCGCGCGCAACAAATCATGTAACTTTATGCTCCATTCGACACGTCTGACTTGTTTTATAATCCCGTTGATGTGTAAATTCAATAGCGCCGGGCGTTTTTGTCGTCTTGTTGTGAACCTGTACGCGAGAGATTTTGAGTGAGATCAGTATTACATAACTATGTACTATTAATATCACGGTCTCATTCATTTTACACGAGCGGCAAGACGTGAATTTGGCACTTTACAGGTTGGTTGGAACGTGAGTTTTGAACCATTGATAAATGACTAAAAAAGCAATGTGCTGTTTATTTATGTTATTAATTTAAAAGTAACATATCTGTCGAATAGCTGTGTATGTGCTATGGTTCAATAAACAACGAATCCTATGGGTAAAGTTGCAGATAATTTCAAGTATGAAATAATGGCAATTCGTATTGCCATTATTGTATCACTTATATGAAAGCCATACTGTTCCGGCAGACTAGACTATTTCGCTTTCTCCTTTACATGCCAGACTGTTTTGTTCTGTTGATCAGTTGTTTGATGTAAAGTATATGAAAATTTTAAAAAATCGAAACCATCAAATATCACTTTTGAAACCATGAAATATCACTTTTAATATAAAAAGTGATACTCGATGGTTTCAAGATTTCTAATATGAAAAAGTGAGATTCGATGGTTTCAAAAGTGATATTCGATGGTTGTTTTTTGCTAAAATATGATATCTTGATCCACATATCAAATGTATCTTCAGGTGATATTCGATCTATATCCTTGCAACCATGGGATAAATGAGGGTTATTGGAGGTTCTGTATTTGGGATATATCCTATCTTGCTAAGGGGAATATAGATATCTTACCGAGGGCCCGGACGGTCCGAGGTAAGATATCATATTTCCCGAGGGATATACCCCATATTAAAAACCGAGCATCGCATAACTGATTTATCTCATGACAAGTAAGATTTCACGAGTGCGGTTTTTAGGACACCAATAGTGCAGATTTGTTTTTTAAAGTGTTCTCATCCTCATTATTTTCGAAAAAAGCATCAACATTTTGGTCAAAAGAAATGCTACCGTCTGCTGCA